TAATCTCAAAACAAAGGACAGTTATATAAAATGAAATACATTTAGCTTTATGAAAAGTTGACTACACTATACTTTGTTTTTCTCATTTTGGCATTAATTGGTAAAGACTTTTTGACATGTATTCGTATAGATACACGGATTATCGGCATTTAGCAACCACCATGGGACAGCTTTGTTTAATTTACTGTGAAATGAGGTGATATTGTTTTCCTTTTTACTTCTCTTAGAGTCAGATACCCTTACACTTTATACCTGAGCAGATATTTGGCCTTTGTCCCTTTAATGAATCCAACCTGACTCTGTATAATCCCAGGTTATGGATTTTAACCAAGGTGGGTTTGTGGATCCTCTCCAACATAAGATTTAGCTTTTCCAAGAAATTTCCTTGATTCCACTGGCCCTTCAGAGACTCAGAATTTCCTGACTCAGTAATGCCTGAAAAAGCCGTTTCTCATTACTAGGAGGGGAAAGGAAGGGTAAGAAGAGGATGTTTCCTCATGTCAGTGCCACTTAAGAGGAATTTGAGAAGCCGAGACCGGTTTGGCTCAGTGGATAGAGCGTCGGCCTGCGGACCGAAGGGTCCCGGGTTTGGTTCCGGTCAAGGGCATGTGCCTGGTTTGCGGGCACATCCCCAGTAGGGGGTGTGCAGGAGGCAGTTGATATATATATATAAAGAGGAATTTGAGAAGAGGTTATTATAGGGAAGCACCTGGTAGAACAGGCTCCAGCCATGCAGCCATAACATAAGTCTGAGCAGTGCACATGCTTGGGAGGAACCTAGTGTGCGATAGAATTCAGGGGTAAGTTCCTGCAAAGGTGTGTAGCTTCTGAATCATGGTAGCATATTGGAATCATCTGCTTTTTGTCTACTGGGGAGAGAAACCAATAGACATATGAACTCTCATTATCATATGGTTCATTTTTATAGAGGTGGGTAATTTTTTTTAGCTATAACTATCTAATTAGCTAAAAGTAAACATTGGTACTGTTATAATGATGTTATTAAATCAAGAAGTATGAAGAAAGTTTCAAGGACAATAGATTTATTTCTGGAACAAGAGAGACAGGGAGGAAAAAGCTGTGGCTGGCAGTCAGATAAAGAGCTGAACTCTATGAGGATGTGCTGCGTTTTCTCTTTTCTTACTATGTGATACCCACTAGCATAAAGCATTGGTTCCTCAGGAAAGTCATATAAAAATATGGAGGGCCTTTATAATCAATAAGCCTCGGCTTAAGTAGTAATCTATAGAAATATACAACTTTTGTCCAGCTGGTGTGGCTCAGTGGTTAAGTGTCAACCTATGAACCAGGAGGTCATGGTCCAATTCCTGATCAGGGCACATGCCTCTGTTGCAGACTCAATCCCCAGTGTGGGGCATACAGGAAGCAGCCAGTCAGTGATTTTCTCTCTCAGCATTGGTGTTTCTATGTCTCTCTCCTCCTCCCTCTCTGAAATCAATAAAATATTTTTAAAAAGAAATATATTAATTTTTAATAAAATACAGCTTATTATTTTCAAATGTACATTTTTAAAAACAGATGTAAGTACAAAGAAACATAATTCTATTTGTCCCTTAAAATACCTATTAAAATGTTTAATGCACATATTCTTTGACCTACCAGGTCCACATCTAGAAATCTACCCAATATATGCTGATGGAAGTACACAAAAATATATGAAAACAAGTTTGTTACAGTATTGTTTATGACAGCAAAAAGTAGAGATAATCTAAATTTCCATTAGTACAAGACTATTTAAATGAACTATTGTTCACTCCTGTAATTAAATATTATGCCATCATCGAAAGAATGAGGTATTGATACAGAAAGATGTCAAGATTACCTTAAGGAAAAAAATAAAGTGGCAGAAAAGTATGCATAGTGTAAATCTTTTTGTGCTTTGAAGAGGCTATCTGTGTATTTATGTATATACACATTTGCTTAAATGTGCATAGATTATTCCTGACTGTGCACAAAATCTGTCAAAAATGTTTACCTTTAAGGAGGCAACTGCAGCCTGGGCAATGTGTATGAAGGGGATATTTTTAATTATTCTGTACCACATACCTCCTGAATTCTTATAATTTTTTTCTATAAGTATTTATTGTTTTTTGAATAATGAATAATTGTCAAAAATAAAAATATTAAACTTATTTTATTTATTTGAATAACTTTTAAATATATTTATATAATTAAAGAAGCCTTTTAACGTTAAAGCCTTTATTCTGCACTAAAAAATTTTCAGGCATGTTAGAGGGGGAAAACAGCTCCATTACTTTCATTCTTAGCTTAAATAATTATCGACTTATGGTGAATGATCCCTGAAAAAAATCACAACACAAAAATTAATTTCCACCATTATTTAGAAAAATTACATATACCACAAATTACATATATAGGAGAGCCTCAAAATTTGTGTTTTAATAGCCCAAATTGAGGAGATTTCCCTCCCCCCACTCCCCTGGATGTTTATGCTTCTCTTGAAGTGTCATGGAAACATTCGATAATGAAGCAACCATATTGAGCTCTTCACTTCATTTGCAGCGTTAGGCTTTTGTGCAGATGGGTCCTGATCATATGCTGTTTTTGGATTGACTTCTGTTTTTTATAACCAGAAATTAGTGAAAGATGGTTTTCCACGATCTAATCAGCTATTTAACCCTAAGATAATGGAATATTGTTTTAAAACATGAATTTTTCGTCCTTTTTCTGATTTACTATAACATGTTTCCAGAGTTGGTATTTTAAAGAAAACTTTTGCAATTTATAAAACATTTCTTACATGTCTTTGCCTCTGACATATTTTCCCCACATATAGTGACTTGTCAACTTCCATTGTTCCCTAATCTGATACCATAATTACTGTGATTATCTTCTTTTTTTCTGTTTCTCTTTGTTTCTGCTATCTTTATATTTACTGTTTGTGTTAGACCTACTCTTTTAGATAAGAGTCTCTCTGTTCAGATCACCTCATTGGTGGTTGGCCTTTTGTGTCTGGCCAATAGATAGCTAGAGTGTTAATATCTGATCCAATCAGATGTGTCCAGGAAGTGAAGGTTTTTTGAAACATAAACACCTCTCATTCAATTAGAATCTCATCTTATGAACAATTCTTAGTCCAACAGCCCCAACAGAAGATATTTAAAATTCTATTAAATGTATCTCCAGCCCCACTCAAAAAGTAATTTTAAAAGAATCAGTCTAAAGGAAAGCTTAGATTTACACTACATAACCCACAGGTTTTATGTCCAACTCATCAGTAGTGTAGGGACAATGACACTGGCCTTGAATTCACAGGTTTATACAAAGTTTGCATCCCTACTTAGCCACTTCCCAGGTGGCCAGCCTTGGCTCACAGAGATTGCGACCTCCTATGTAGACTAGAGATAACAATATTGTAGGATTGATGTGAGGATTCAAAGTGATTGTGTATGTAAATTGAGTAGGACAATAGCTGACACCAAGTAATTCTAATAGCAGCAAACCTTTATTGAGTATGTACTGAGTAACAAGCCATTATTCTAAGCGTCGTATGATTATTAGCTCTGTAATCATCTGAACAACCCTATGACAGTATTCCCATTTGACAGATGACACAGGCAGGTCCTGTAATTTGTTTGAGATTAACAGCTACGCCAAACCAACCCTACCTAGGAAGTCAGTGCCCAGGTTTGTTTCTATCCTGACATCTGTGGCCTTTTGAGTTCCACCCCTGTCAGACCCACATGTGAAGTACCATCCTATTTTATCCTCCACCAAATCCAACCATAATCCTGGTCCATCATGCTCAATGGCTGCCTTGGGAATTGGGGATGTCCCAGGGCCAGGGATTGCACGGCGAATCATTTTATTTGCTCTCTATCCTCTCATCATAACTGAGGTTCACTCCAGCCTGTGGTATTATCTCAGTAGGAGCAGTAGTCGCAGGCCAGGCTGCCTGCCTTGGAATTCCAGTGAAGAAACGGTCTTTAGCCTTGTGATAGCATCATGTCTTCCTGTTCTCTCCCCTCCACTTGTCAAGCACTGAATAGTTTAAGTGGGGTTAGTCCTTAAGCCAGACTGGGAAGTAGGTAACGTTTGCTTCTTTAAGCCACCCATTCTATTAGTCTGTCCTATTTCAGTCTTTCATATCTCAATGGGTCAGTTTAATTAAAAGTTTACAGCTTCTGAAGAAATAGGAGATGGGTGGGGGGATGGGAACGGTCATTTAGAGCAATGCTTCTCAGACTTGAATGTGCGTCTGAATCAGCCACCTAGGGACCTTGTTAACATGCCGATTGTGATACAGTAGATCAGGAGTGGGCCCGAGATTCTGCATTTCTCGCAAGCTCCCAGGGATGTCAATGCTACTGGTTTCTCGACCACACAATGAGCAAGTATTTAAAAACTGAGCACCACCCAGAGCTGGCAGAGGATTTACCCTGTGAGGTTTTCCAGGAACATTTCATCCGAGGAAATGAGTCTCAGTGGCATTTAGCTCATGTAACTGGCTGCTAGAAGAAACTTCTCCATTTCAAACCATAACCTACACTGCTTACCAGTAGAGCCATTCCTGGATGGAGAAAAGAATAGTATAAACTTGTCAAGTTTTGATAGAAGCAATGTAAAATTAGGCATTCTCCTCCATCAGTTTAATTTAGTGACTCTCACATGATTTATATGCCTTTTTCCTGAGCTTTATGTGAAAGTATCCACTTGCTGCTGCTGCAGGTTGAGTTTCTCACAACGGGGGAAATAGATGACTAAACTTATTCTGGTGCAAGAGCCACATGTGTATTTCAGTATCTGCTTCCTGTTCCTTCGATCATCACATTTGGAGCCAGCTCACTAGGAGCATTTGTGACTAATTTGGTTAGAAATGGTGGGATAATACTAATCTGAATAATGAAATCTCGTGCAGAGCCTTACAAGTGGAAGTGCAGTGTGGCAGAAACCTGTGCAGTGATGGCGGGTTCTCCTTGTGCTGGCAAAGGCTTACATTCTCTGTTTCTATTTTCTAGGGAGGAGAACACTGTTACTACCAGGGCCATATCCGAGGAAACCTGGCCTCATTTGTTGCATTGTCAACATGCCATGGACTTCAGTAAGTGTCCAATTTTTTTGTGTGTGCTACCCATGTGTTCAATCACTTATTTTCTTTATTTTTAAGGCAAGACATCATTTGAAATCAGGGATAGATCTGATCTTTTCTCTTCTGTGGTTTATAAGCCAAACATATTTTAAAATTAGAGTTGCAGAAACCTGGGGCTTTGGAATTATAATATGATACCTTATAGAGATGTTTGAAGCATTTTTCTAGTTGAGACAGAAGTTGTTGGGGTAATTTTGGTCTCTGTGTCTGTGGAGTTTAAACTCTGGGTACCAGTTCTGCTTTCACTTCTCTTTGGTGTCAGTTTTTATATTTTTATAGAATAATAGACATTTCAGTAGATGGGAACTCTTAACTCCTTGAGCAAAGAGAAAAGGCTGCAAGTGACCTCAAGAGCTCATGTGTTTCAGCTTATTTTTCAGCTAAAATCCCACCTAAGCCACTGCAAACCGGTGGGAGGTTCCGCCTGTTCTTAGAAATCTCCGAGGATCGGAGTTCATCCTTTCTCGGGGCCTTGCTTCCTTTCTCATAAAGCTCATTATCAAAGAATGTCTTCTGATGTTTAACATGGGAATACATCCACTTCCTCTGTCCTGTCGGTGATGGCGAGGCACAGGTGGCCACCTGCCATTTGTTTTGTGACCCCTTACAAAGCCACTGTGTCATTCCTCAGCATTCTATTTCAGCGAAATCATCTCAGTTCCTTCGGACTTGTTTACTGTTGTTTGGGGTGGGGGGAGGTTTGGGGGGCACAGAACAAGCCAGCACTTTAATTCAGTTTTGTTAAATTTTTGTTGGTAACTTTAAAATACTTCCTGTCTGTTACCAAGTTAGGAATGTGGCTTTTTCATTTAACTAACAATTATTGAGTGTCTAGGAATATTAAGGTGATTAGGACATGAGGCTGGCCCCTAAGAGCTCAATCTAAGGGGGAAGCTAATTCTAGCTCAGCATCCTACTATGGAATATGATAAGTATATTTGTTTCTTTGAGAGAAAGTAAAAAAAAAAAAAAAACAAAAAAACTGAGAAAGATGCAAGCTGAGAGTGGGCAATAAAGAATGAGGGCTCTTACCTGGCCCGTGTGGCTCAGTAGTTGAGTGTGGACCTATGAACTAAGAAGTCATGGTTCAGTTCCTGGTCAGGGTTTTTGTCCGGGTTGCAGGCTCTACCCCCTTTAGTCCCCAGTAGGGGGCCTGTAGGAAGCAGCCGATAGATGATTCTCTCTTATCATTGATGTCTCTCTCACTCTCCCTCCCCCGCTCCCTATCTGAAATCAATAAAAATCCGGTCAAGGGCATGTACCTTGGTTGTAGGCACATCCCCAGTGGGAGGTGTGCAGGAGGCAGCTGATCGATGTTTCTCTCTCATAGATATTTCTACCTCTCTATCCTTCTTCCTTCCTCTGTAAAAAATCAATAAAATATATTTAACAAACAAACAAACAACAAAAAAAACACATAAAATTATTGAAATTATGGGCCCGTTTTACTTCTATTAATACATCAATGTTTTATTACCTGGGGGAGGAGGAGGAGGAGGAGGAGGAGGAGGAGGAGGAGGAGGGAAAGAAAGAAAGAAGAAAGAAGTGGCTCCCCGAGGAGTGACTCAGGCAGACTGGGAAGGCCGCTTGCCCTGGGGCAAATCTTTCATAAAGGAAAAAAAGAATGAGGGCTCCAGAGAAATGTCTCTGAGGAAGGTGGAGTGGGCCCCTTAACAGGGTTTGATAGAATCTTCCAGGAGAGGGGTTGGATTGACAGGTCTTAAAAAAAGCAAGGAAAGAGATCTAATGGGAAAGTCCAGAAACTGTAGCTAGTCTGCCTCAGTCAGGCTCTGGCAGTAGGTATGTGAGAGGCAGAAAGGAGAGTGGGAGGATCAGTTATGTAGCCAGAGAAAAGAGGCCCCGTGCCCGACAGCATGGAGGACTTCACTTTGCTTATTCTTTCTTCTAAAAGGCCATTTCCCTTATTTTAAATAAATTCTTTGAATAAAGAGACATTTACAAACATGAGTGCATGTCTAATATGTGAGCGCTTTGGTTTTCTTATCTGGAAAAAGCAATATTGAAGTTGCCTTTAGCAGTAAAATTGGACTGATCCCAAGATGAGTACAGCTGTCAGCTCAGATTAGTACACTGGGCCTGTTGACACTTGTGACAGCAAATGTACGTTGTAGGAGAGAGAGATAAAAAATAAGTTTTTCCCCCTCTCCGTTCCTCTTAAAATCTCAACCCAAAGTCACCTTGTAAGCATCATGCCTAGTTCTTATTCCAGTTTGCTTCTAGTTTTCCAAATGGACACAAATACTGTGAAAACCAGAGAGAAGGTATTACTGCCTTCTAAGGGCTGTAATAGGGCTGACAAACTAAGACCAATAGCTTTCTCTAAGCCTACATAGTCATTTGAAGGAGGATGGAAAAGTAACTTGAAGGACTTTTTTGTGACTAGATCAGGAGTAGGACTCAGAGTCTACTTCAGTTGTTTTACCTTTGGAAACCTTTTCATTTAAAACTACACAAAAACAAACAGAAAACCCACTGTGTTTCTAGAGCACCAGCAAGATTGTGGACAAGCATGTTTTGGTATTCTTAGACTTTTATAAGCGTGTGGGGAAAATTTTCTCCAGTTCCTTTTTGTTATTTATTTTTACTTCTCATCTTGATTTTACTTTCTGAACAGAAATTTCTGACAAATATTTGGGGTGGATATTACTAAATATTAAATGATTTATGTTGTCTCAATTGCAGTGATTAGATATGAGATGTTATTTCATCCATAATTCATCTTTTATAAAATACACATTGAGATTTTTTTCATTTTCCTGGATTTATTTAATTCAGTAGAAGAACATAAAAGGGAAAATAATCACATTCAGATTCATGTCTTTTACGTAAAGAACCTGCAAAAGCAATTTTTTTTTTCAAATTCAAAGGACTAATGGGTCATATTTTGGTCCTGATATGTTTGATGTTGCATGCATGTAAGCATAATCAATGGACACAGACACTAGGGGGGTGTAGGGGCGGCTGTGGGAAGGTCAATGGGGATAGAAGGAAACATATGTACTACTATTTGTAATACTTTAAACAATAAAAAAGATAAAGATTTATGATAAAGACTACTAATACTATTACTACTATTAATACCAACATACCAAAAAATCTGGATGATACCAAATTCAAAAAGGCTCCAAAGCTGTGTTATATGTTTGCAAATATTTGTAAGATTATAGTGACACAAGATTCATTTCCCCATAGGGACATATAGAAAAAGAGTAAATGATTTTCAGAAGATGGTCTTCCTAATCCCAGTTCTTTGTGCATTCCCACCAAAGCCTGACAGTCTCAGAGGATAAAAGGAATATACGAACAACAGCAAAGAATCAGTTCGATATTTAATACTTTATACGTTTTGTTTATTTACAATGTTAGTACCGACCTTGCGAATTGAAAAGAGCACATTAAGGAGCCAGTTTTGAGCGGTGGATTGAAAGAGATCTAATACACACAGAGGGGAAGCTTCAACATGAAGAAATTGTGGCACATGATGGCCATCCCACTTACTTGAGATTCATTATTACAACGGCCTTTGATCATTTTGCATCTGTGTATAGCATTTCTGCAGAGGGAATAGCAGTCTCAAATCTTTCTTAATAATTATAACAAAATGTTGTTCAAAAGTTTATAATGGTCTCTATTATCCATGAATGAAGAGGCAGAGCTGCCTCAAACAGATTGTCAAACTGCAGCGGGAAGGCCGGGAGGGTTGGGGGGCAGGAGGGAGGGGGGTAAGAGATCAACCGAAGGACTTG